CACTGTCTGACGCGTCTGCCTCCGCGACCCGAAAGGAGAAGCGGCGATGGAAGATGAAGATGAAGATGACGATATATTTTAGAAACTTCCCAAAGCGATGACAAATTTTGCCATGAGGTTATAACTCGCGGCAAATGGTAAATGAAATTGTACTGTTCATGCGATATAGCCGTTGAGTGCGCAACCAGGTATCAGTTAACTTCGTAGATATACCACACATAGGTCAAAGGATGGATAGACAGAAAACAGAGAGATAGACTATCCTGACTCTGTTCCATCCGTACCTCATGATTTGAGAACAGGCTACTTGCTGGTCTAACAGCGGTATATCTTATTGCTATTTCGATTCATCGTGTACAGATGCGCAAACTCAATTCAGATCCCTTAAAATGCGTCGAGTCAAAGCTTTAACGGTGTAAAGGTTAGAAAGAGCTTGCTCTGCCTCCGAAAAGCCAGGCATCACACTAGCCATGCTGCAACCAGTCAGACAACTAAAACTGTCCCGGAACTAAATTATGACAATTAAACCGGATTTACGGCTAAGAGCTGTTTCCAATTATCTGTAACATACCTGCCTTCTGTTACCAGATATGATCGACTTTACCAGATCCATCATCTTTATTTTTTGGCCATCGTTTTCTAAATTGAACATAGGGGCTATATTCTGTCTATGTATTTGCCTGCAGACAGTAAAAAATTTTGTTAGCGCTAGAACGTCTTTATTCAACTACATCACAGATGCGGTATTGCACTCGAAGTGTATAAACACCATGGAACCGTGACCTGCTTAAATGGTCTCTGCCGGTGATTGCAGGCAAGAAAACGATGAGTTTTCGAAGTGCGAATCCGATATCAGCAACTGAATTGGAAAACTGTTATTCGTGGCAACTACTCTAGAACCTCAGGCTTATGCTCTATTTCGTCTATACGATTTCAAAATGTTAGCGCGGAAGCCCCTTTGATCTTCATGCGTGGTGACCCTTTTACGTTCGGAGGAGTCAGACTAAAACCAACCAGATGCACCAGCTGTCCAAGCGCGCCGGCATTTCAGCTTCACTCATAGACAAAGACGCAACCAGGAAGAAACGACCTTAGTCAGTGAAGCTTATTTGCCCATTGCGCACGACCAAAACAGAAATTCGCCAAATCCTGGATAAATGTTGTTCCCTTGACAGCGCCAACAACTACAAAAAGGGTTATTTCTGTGTATTGATACATGACGATGACAAAGTGTGTATCTGCGCGAATCTACGAAATATGCCATTGTTATGGTGCCACAGTCAAATGTTACATATCTTATTCTTATCAGCGATGTGCAACAAGCACAGTTAGCAAATTAGTCACTTTCTTCACTTCAGGCCAAAGAATGTATGAAGCACTAACAGAGGTAGTCAGCCGCAGCTTAAACATTTTACTGGGTTAAAAATCAAGTCAAAAACTGTACCTGGCAAGAAGACCCTGTGAAAGGCGGCGGGCAGGAACACATTTCTATGCTTTTCATAACATTTTCCGCGACATTTGGCGATGCTCTTTCCAATGATATCGAATGCACGCTAGAAAGGAAGTATCAAACGTCGAAAACGACAGGTGGCTGTCAGACAGCAAGTAAGATGTCGCTCGATGATCAGTCGTTTGATCGCGACCATAAATTCGAGGAGTGACAACAGGAAATTCAGTCGGTGGACACCACTGATAGAAGCCGGTGATAGCGCGACTAAGGGTATAACTCCCGTTCTATTTGCCTTTCATCAAATTATAAGTAGTACAAAGCTGCAGACGTACGATCTGGATCAGGCACTAGATAAGATTGGAAAATGGAAGATGCAAATCTTCACAACCAATATTTGATCGCGTGGAGCGCGGCACCGTTTGATCATAAGGATTAAAGGGTGCATAGCCCAACCCTGGGAAAAGATTGAATGAGTGCAAAGTTAGCAACTCGGCTTAGGGAGGGTCAAATGTGGCTAAACGACCAGGCGCAAAATTTCAGAAATTTGGAACCTGTGAGACAAAGAATTTTATAACTGTACTCGATACCTCGAAAACAGTCTAAAATACGCACCTGGACTGCATCTGATGCTTGTGATATACGGCACGAACCATCAAAAGCTGTACGTCAGCAAGAACGGTCATAAACTCTCGTTTGTTCACTCGGATATGCGTATCTCGATGAAACCAATCAGAGATTTCGCTAAATCGAACAGAGATACTGATGTTTTCGCGCTCAGGGAAGTTCATTTTCAACGAGTGTTCGATCGTCATTCGGTTACCCTAAATTTCACCTCAAAATTACATAATTATAACATTCGAAACAGTCCGTGCGACTTATTCGTACAATGGATGTCAGTGACTAAATACTATTTACTATTACAACATAGAATAAATCGTTTTGGCGGATACACCGAATGCATCGCTTTGAAATGGATTTCGTGATCAAGCGCCCTATGCGGCAGGAAAATGTTGGTATCCAGCATTTGAACTGAGGGAAAAGAGGGGAAATGAAATTTATTCACTGACATTTATTCAATGACCTGCACTTTGTACAGAAAAAATTAAGTCACTGACACACTTTAAGAGTGTAACCCTTCACTTCGATGTCCAAACAAGACTTTAAGAAACGAAGAAGTCGTAAACAGAGGTCCTAACGTTAGATGTCAAATCTATGCAAACACTATTCAGTTTTGCACTCTCTAGAAACGCTGTTACGAAATAGTAACTGAATTTACCTATCTCAACGACCGTGAAAACACCACTAGCTGAAACTTCGAAATTGGCTTTTAATAGGGTCGCTTTCCTGAAGGACAAAAAAAGAAACAAGATTTCACTGATGAGTGTGTCATGGCTGGGTTAGCTAAACATAATCATACCGCGCCGTATTAGTCACACACGGATCAATCAACAATACCTGGGACTTATTGTAAAATTCGCTTGTAAAGCATGCTCTGTATTAGTATCCTGCCTAAACGGTGACCTTTACATGCTTACGTTTAATAAAATACATCCTTATGAACAGGAATACTTTCTATCAGCCTCATGTTCCCAGAAGAATGAATGCACAACAAATGTTTATCCATGCTCACATTTGTATTAGGCTATCAGATTACATATCCAATGACAGCTATCTTGGAGAGAACAGAGACGCAACGGGTTAATAATTTGCGTGGAATTGTTAAGTAAAGGTCCAAACAGAATACGCGGCATAAACTTTCTCTTATTAACTGCAGTTCCGTTGAGCAAGCAACTCACTCCACCGTGTTTCGGTACAATTAGACGAAAAACGGATAGCACGTCGCTGATCTATCAATAATATGGGCAGCATGCTGTTGACTGTAGTCACGCCACAGTGAGACATACGGTCGTGATGCGTGATATGTGCGCCTTACGACTGCAATTCATATTGACCCACCTGATAGTCAACTGAAAATAAGCACAATATGCACACAAATTTTAAATTAATAAGTGAGAGAACAATGCCAAATTTTCGAACCCATGGTCTGCATACACTGCGCGCGTATTTCTGTATAAGCACGATATATACTATACGAAATCACTGAAACAGCCAATCCATTTTGTCACACCTTGCTGACTTTCGCATTGACCTGTTGGCGGAGATGGGTCGAGAACTGCTCGAAATCGACAGAGTCGGCGGAATAATCTTAATGTGAGAAGTCCTTCTGTACGAAGCATCTATGAAATCGCTCGAAATCGGTCGAATAAAACAATCGTGTTCGATGTTCAGTCATATTCATATTTAAAAGAAATAAATAGATTGGTAAGAAACGATGAATTGGCAATGTTAGTTTTTCAAAGTTTTTCACCAGTTTTTCAAACTCAGCAAAAGATAATCTGGAACAGAGTATGTCGAGTTACTTGCTTCAGGTCATTCTTGGCCATTCTCGGAGTCTTGGTCTCGTGAGTAGACTAACTAGTAGCTATCTCGCCTTTATTTCTGAAGGCATTCGCAAGACATGCCCAAACCTTCGCACCTGTAACCTGTTTAGAGAAGCAGCGCCTGCACACCAAGGCTTTCTTATATACCTTTTGTCCGGACCATGTTGGGACGCATGAGATGAGCGATTCGTTGCAGAAAGTCCATTTCAGCTACCTCTAATCGGGATCGCAGTTTTTCAGTCATGACAGCAGGTGAGACTCACGACTGTAGTAGCTGACTCACGACTGTAGGTAAGCATCGGGATGAAGACCGTTTGGCTAGCCGTGACAGTAAGGACAGAATTCGACACTTTATCGACAACGTACAAACAACTTTGTCAATCAGATAACTGACCTGTAACGACATTTCAGTTTAACGTCTCAGAGACCTTCTTCCAAGTAGCGAGGTGCATTGGCCTTGGAAGCTATTGCTGTCGTTCGCAGGAGCTCGTAATTTACGAACCAAGCACCCAAGATCAAACACTGGTACTGGTTAGTCATTTAGTCATCCGATGAACCAAATTATTTGCGTAGTGCATAAATAAACCGTCTTTACAATGTTTTCAGGATGATCAATACCTCACGAACGAAATACTCATCTTTATATGTGTTCACTAACATAAGCGTATAAGTAATACCTTGAGCACAACATCCGCCATTGGCGTCAGAGGGCCATGAGCATCTGCTGCAAAGTAGACGAAATAGTGAAGATATCCTCCGTACGAAAGAATCTGAAATATGAATAATTAAAAGACGACGAAGGGAAAAAATATCACGAGAGATCCATGAACATCCCCTCATAAAAATCGAACGATTAACGTC